TGTTGTGGTGCGTGTGTTGTGTGTGTGGGACGTGTGTCCGGGGGGTGTGTATTTGGTGTGTACCATGTATGTGCATGTGTCGTGTACGTGTGGTCTGGGGGGCATAGTGTGTGTGTGTGTGGCCTGCTGTTTGTGTGAGTGCTCGCACGTGGGGCGCACCGTGGGGAGCAGGCCCCCGGCAGTGGGGGGCTCCAGCGGGCTCGCGGGCGGGCACAGAGCGTGAGAGCGCAGCGCGGGTGGGCGACGACCCTCCTCGCCGTCTAGGTGGTGGGCAGAGTCCCAGAACTGAAGGCGAGCGCTCAGCGCAGGGCGGGTGGGCCGGGGACCTTCCAGAAGGCCGTGGCACCTGGGACGCCTGGGGTGGGCCACGTCCTGCCTCCTGCCTGCCGCGCCCCAGGCCCGCCCACCCCTTCCTGCCCGTGGCGGAGGATAAAGGGGTGAGAGAGAGAGAGAGAGAGAGAGAGGCGATGCGTTCGCCCATGTGGATTTGCCTGCACTGTGGGTCCCCTTGACCACCGTTGGCCGTGACGGAGGGGGGGTGACCGAGGTGTCAGGGTGCTGTCCTCGGAGTTCGGGGAGTGCCCCCGTCCTACGTGGTGCCTGGGAAGGAAGGTGGGCAGGGGAGGGCTTTTGTCCTGATGTTGTCCAGCAGGTCAGTGGGGCGGGGGGGGGGTGGGACGCGTGTGACCTCAGCTCTGCTATGACCACCGGGCGTGTGTGGCGCTCAGGAGGCCGGGTCATCCCCGCAGCCCCGATCTGAGGACCCCCCCGTGTGCCCGGCCCCAGGGGGGCAGCCGTGTATTCCATATCCTCTGTGCGCTGGGCCATGTGAGCCAACAGCCTGGTGGCAGAGATGGACCTTGGGCAGTCCGGCGTGAGTAGCGTCCAAGAAGGGAGTTCAGGGCGATTGTGGCGTCACGATGGGGCTGGGGGGGCAGCAGTGCCAGGCCCCATGCCGGTGGAGGGACCAGCAGCCCAGCTGAGCCCGAGCCTCCCCTTTCGCGGTGGTGAGCGCCGCAGGCTCGCTCTCTCATTTAGCGCCCCCTATGTGCCGAGCCCTGGGCTTGCAGCTGGGGGGGGACAGCAGGGAATCAGAGCGGAGACCCTGGCCCTTGCGGTGGGGTGGGGGGGGGGTAGACGGGCGGTAGAAGAAATCTAAGTAAGCCATCCTGTGCGCAGTAGAAAGTTGGGGGTGACCAGCAGAAAGAAGGGAACTGGGAAGAGGGCTCTGGCCCCTTGCCTGTCACCCTCGGCACTGGGAGACCGGTGGCCCTGCAGCCCTGGCTGGGACGCAGTGGGTGTGTGGGCGCCTGCAGCTTGGAGGGAGCTGCTCCTGTCAGCCTAGGGGGCGAGGAGGTGCTTGGAGTCACCGCTGGAGCGTCGGCGACATTTGCACAAGGTGGGGAATGTGGGTGCAGAGGGGAAAGAGGACAGAATGCTCGTGCTGATGACTCCATGCGCCCTGCCAGGGACGCCCAAGCCACAGGTCACGTGGCGGAAGGGCCCATCCTCGGAGCCCCTGCGTGGCCGGCCGGGCCTGGAGGTGCTGGATGAAGGCTCCCTGTTTCTGGCCTCAGTTTCTCCCACTGACAGCGGAGACTATGAGTGCCAGGCCACCAATGAGGCAGGCTCCACGTCCAGGAGAGCCAAGCTGGTGGTCTATGGTAAGCAGGGACCCCAGGGCGGGGGATGGCTTGTACACACCTCCCAGTGGCACCCCAGGTGTGGTGGCGCCAGGTCCCCAGGGCCCGAGAGCTCACGGTGGGGCAGGCTGCGAGCCACCCTGGCCTGCTATATAATGACTTGCCTGGGAAGTTACAAAGATATACCCAGGCCCCACCTTCAGAGATGACGACTCAGGGGTCCTTCCCAGGTGACCATGACAACAGGTGTAAGTAGAACCAGGTGGATCTGGGGGCTCCGGCATCTTGCAAAGCTGAATGTCAGAGAAAGTGGCACGGTGCCCAGGGACAACTGGGGCGTGCGGGTCCCAGGGCGGGTTCTGCGGCATTCCCAGGTCCACATGGCTCCTGGTGGCCAGATCAGGGACTGGAGTGGGCATCCTGGGACCCCAGAATCTAGGGAAGGGCAGGAGTTGGGACTGCTGTCCAGGCCAGGAAGAGCAGCCCAGATGGGGTCTGGGTAGCCCTGGCTCTCCGGGAGGGACAGCTTCTCTGCTTCTCTTTCCTCCCAAGTGCCCCCTAGCATCCGGGAGGATGGGCGCAGGGCCAATGTGTCAGGCATGGCCGGGCAGTCCCTGACTTTGGAGTGTGATGCGAATGGCTTTCCAGCCCCTAAGATCGTGTGGTTCAAGGATGGGCAGCCGGTGGGTGTCCTCTGGGGGGGCCGGGCCGTGGGTGGGATTTGGATAGAGTATAGACCTTCTGGGTGGGTTCCTGCATGTGCCAGGTGTGGCAAGGAGACGTGACAGAGGTTTGGGGGAATGCGTTTGGCAGTGGAGAACTGCGTTCCCACAAGGAAGCCGGGGGCTGCATGGTGGAGGGGGCATAGCACTGTTTTGGGAGTCAGAAGCCCCAGGTTCCAAGCCACCGACCAGCTCCCTGGGCCTCAGGTTCTTATTGCTGATGCTGGGGAGTGGCCAGACCCCTCTCACAGCTTCCTCTGGCCTCTCTTGCCCAGATCCCCGAGACGGGCCATCACTGTCTCCTGGACAAGCCCCGGGCCCTCCACTTTCCCAGGATCCAGGAGGGCGATTCTGGCCTCTACTCCTGCCGGGCAGAGAACCAGGCCGGGACTGCCCAGAAGGACTTCGATCTCCTCGTGCTCAGTGAGGGAGGCCTGAGCCCCTACCCTTTTGTGGGGGCTGGGGAGGAGGGGGACTTTGCCTGCTGGGAATCAGGGACACAGAGGGGCCCACGACAGACCCCGTCCCTGTCCTCACAGAGCTCTCAGGACAGACATTAGACAGTCAGATGATTAACCCTGTAATTAGTATTGTGTTACATGCTACAAAAGTCGTGCAAGCTGCTGAGAAGGTGCAGAGCGGGCTCCCGACCCAGCCAGGGAGCTTCGAGTGAAGGACGGATGGGGAGGGAAGGGCGCACCGGGCTGGGGACCCACACAGACGAAGGCCCACCGCAGGGCCTTTGCCTGTGCAGGATCTGAGGAGTTTTCACCCCTCTGCCCCTCACCCCCAGTCCCTCCTTCCGTGCTGGGAGCCGGGGCTGCCCAGGAGGTGCTGGGCCTGGCTGGTACAGAGGTGAAGCTGGAGTGCCGGGCGTCGGGGGTCCCCGCGCCCCAGGTGGAATGGATCAAGGACGGGCAGTGAGTGGTCTTCCCAGTGGATGGCATGGGGGTGGCGCCCAGGCCGGGGCCGGGTGGAGGGGGGCCTTGGGGAGGGCGAACTCGGCAAGGAAGCCCCTCTCTCCCCCGGCAGGATTTTCTCATTACTTAGCCAGTCTTGCTTTTTGTTGTAAACTTTTTTTTTTTTTTTTTTAGGTAAAATTCACAGAATATAAAATCAGTCATTCTGAAGTGCGCACTTCAGTAGTATTTAGTACCCGCAGAGCAGGGCACACCATCAGTCACCTCTCTCTAGTACCAGAACATTTCATCGCCCCAAAAGGGGACCCCCATACCCATCAGCCTCTGGCAACCACTAGTCTGCTTTCTGTCTCCATAGAGTTGCCTGTATTTCAGATGAATTCCATGCAGTCATATAGTACGTGTCCTTTTGTGTCCGGCATCTCTAACTTAGCACACAGCTTTGGGGTTCATCCATGCTGGAGCAGGGATGGGTTCAGGCCCATCTCAGAGATGCCACGGCTTCAGCTCCAGACCACGGCAAGAGAGCAAATATCACAATAAAGCGAATCCAATGAATTTTTGGGTTTCCCAGTGCGCATGAAAGTCGTGACACTCTACTGCACTCTGTCAAACATAAAACAGTATTGTGTCTAAAAAACAACGTACCTACTTGGGGCGTCCGGGCGGCTCGGTCGGTCAGGCGTCTGCCTTTGGCTCAGGTCATGGTCCCCAGGGTCCTGGGATGGAGCCCCGTGTGGGGCTCCCTGCTCAGTGGGGAGCCTGCTTCTCCCTCTCCCTCTTGCCTGCTGCTCTGCCTACCTGTGCTCTCTTTCTCTATCAAATTAAATAAATAAAATCTTAAAAAAAATAGCTGATTGCTAAAAAATGCTACCACCATCTGAGCTCTTAGTGAGTCGTCATCACGTGTAACAGATAGATGTTACAAATCACAGCTTAACAAATATAATAATAATGAGGAAGTTGGACATAGTGTGAGAATGGTCAAAATCGTGACACGGAGACGCAAAGTGAGCCAGTCCCATTGGAAAAATGGCACCAGCGGGCTGGCTCGATGCAGACTTGCCCCAAACCGTCAATGTGTAAGAAACGCAGTATCTGTGTTGCAGGAAAAAGTGAAGTGTGCCTGCACTTCATTGCTTCTCGTGGCTGAATAGTATTCCGCCGTAGGCATTCCTTGCTGGACGGGCACCTTTCCGGCGACTGTGAACCTTGCAGATTTGCTTTTCACCTCTGTGCAGCCCAGCCCTAACTGGTGGTATTCTCATGACCGCCCTTCCAGGCCCATCCTCCCAGGAGACCCTCACATCCAGCTCCAGGAGGACGGCCAGGTTCTCAGAATCACCAGCAGTCACCTGGGGGACGAGGGCCAGTACAAGTGCCTGGCCTTCAGCCCCGCCGGCCAGCAGGCCAAGGACTTCCAGCTCAGAATGCAGGGTGAGCCCGGCCCCCTGTCACGGCTGCCCGCTGCATGGAGGGAGGATGGGGCAGAGACGGGGGGCCCTGGAGGAGGAGCCCCCTGGTCCAGTAAGGCTGCGGGGAGGGACAGGGAATCTGGCCCAGCGTTCCCAAATCCCATTGTCCCCATCCCCAGCTTTACAGCTTTCTTATTCCTGATCCTGCTCGGGATGATTGTTTCTTTAAAACGAGTTCTTTGTCTTACGTGGAAACACACTTATTTAAAAGGATATTTAGTATCGCAACTGTAAGTGGGAAGCCAGGGCAACCTGGCCTTCAGGGAAGAAGCTGTGGAAACAAATGCAGCAAGAGAGCACTGATATAGAAGGTACTAGAAGGGTTACATACACAGTCTACCAAACCGTGCCTTTCCCTTTGTTGTAATCAGTATGGAAGGAGTTCGGGAAGGGCGGAGCTGTTCCGTCCTGAGATGCAATGCTATTTCACGCCATGACCACACACCCCCTGAATCGCTGTGGGTATCACCAATGGTGAACTCCCGATTTCGGTCATTTTACGGATGGGGAGACTGAGAGCCAGAGAGGGAAAGTGCCCTGTGCCTGGTCATGCAGTGAGTTAGAGGCAGAGTGGGTCCAGAGCCCAGACCTGTGGCTCCTCTCATCTCCACACCTCTTGTGATGACCGGGTGGATCCCACATCAGCAGGTCCCGAGAGGCCTGTCCTCATCTGTCCCCAACCCTCTGCTGTCCCCGTGCCCCACGCATTCCACACCCTGCGCTAGGAGCCAGTGACATATGTAGGGCTTATGGCCCACGGGCATGTGATTACCACTCTGGGGTTGGGACACCAGCCGCCTTGGGGAGGCTCCCTGTGACCAGCGCCCCCCCGCATTGTCCTTCTCAGCACCTCCCACCATCTGGGGCTCCAACGAGACGAGCGAGGTGGCCGTCATGGAGGGCCGCCCAGTATGGTTCTTGTGTGAGGCCCGAGGAGTGCCTGCTCCTGACATCACCTGGTTCAAGGACGGGGCCTCCCTCCCGCTCAGCGCCAAGGCTGTCTACACCAGGGGCGGCCGGCAGCTACAGCTGGGGAGGGCCCAGGTTGTGGATGCTGGCATCTACACCTGCCAGGCCAGGAACCCTGTGGGCGTCACTGAGAAGAGCACCAGGCTGGAGGTTTATGGTGAGCGGCCAGGGTTTGCAAAAGCCGTGGTCAGCTGGGGTGGGCGGTGCCGGGGTGGGGGCGGGGGCGGGAGACTCTGGGCCGTGGTGGGCCTGTCTTCAATAGTTGCCGAGGGGAGTGGCCAGAGGCCCAGGATAATGAGACTGAAAAGTTACCCAGGGAGAATGGCCATCTCGGCTTATACAGCTTCCCTCACCCAGACAGGCAGGATGCTGAGGCCGGGGGCAGAAGGGCCTGTCTGGGGGCCCAGGCAGAGCCAAGTGGAGAATCCACATTTCCCTCTGGGGTTAGCACTTTCACTGCTCTTCAGTGAATAATTAACTGCTCTTCATTAATCACTCACTGTGAGCCAGGGCCCCTGGGCTTTTCATAGCATCAGCTCATTTCATCAGGGTTCAGGGGCCTTGTCTCCCTGTCTCCCACTTACCCATGAGTGCAGGGGGCTCTGGGGGTGAGAGGCTAGCCACGGGCCACTTGCTAGGAGGTGATGTGACCTGGTTCATGGTGTGCGGACGGGGGTCTGAATGTATACCTTGTGCTGTTTACCTGGGTGTAGACCCACTTTGAGGGGCTGGGCTCTGAGGGAAGGAAAAACTGAGTGTAGGTGGGCAGGCATGGGGTCTGAGCAGGCCCGTGGGGTCATCCTGGCCCCTCGAGAGGACTCAGCTCCTGAGTTCTGGCCCCTGAGGATGCAGAGGGCTTGGGTGCTGGAGCCGCGGGGATCCTGAAGGGAAGCTGGGCTATCTGGGGTTCGCCGGCAGCCTCTGAGGACGCGCCCCGCTGCCATCTCGGGGACTCTCATTTGGGGATCGGAGGACCTCCTGGAAATGCAGTGGAAAATGCGTTTCCATACAATTTTCAAAGGGGCTTGTGACCCAGACAAGACTGAGAGGCTCATCCCGGGCGGTCATGTCCCATGCCTCCTGGGGAGGGCTCCGTGGTCTCCACAACGGGGGGCCCTTTGGAGGGGAAGAGAGAAGTCCCCCTCTGGGGGGACTATCCCCTTGGCCATCAAGGGCTGACCCCCCACGGACCCTCCGGGCTTGGCCTGCCCCAGGCATCTACTTCCTCAGACCAGGGAAGGGACCTGAAGGAGCAGCGGTTCTGGTCTCGGGCCCTGGGGAGCCCATCACTTTGAGTTCCGCAGAAATAGAGACCTACTGTGTGCAGACACTGAGGCACACACAGACAAGCTCTTGTTCTGCTCTCGGGGAGCTCGCAGGCATGGCAGGGATGGAGAGAAGAGGCAAGCAGTGTTGGGGGAGCGATGCGGCCCAGGGGCAGAGGAGGGGAGGGAATGCTTCCAGCCAGGGGCCCCGGGCAGCAGGTGGTTCAGGGGAGGTGGGTCAGCGAGGGGCTTACGCTGGCCTGCTGGGCGGGGAGCAGACAGGTGTCCCCCTCTGGTCCCTGAGCAGCCCCCGCTTCCTCCCTAGTCCCACCCACCATCGAGGGCGCTGGAGGAGGGCCTCGTGTGGTGAAGGCTGTGGCTGGGAGGCCCTTGGCGCTGGAGTGTGTGGCTAGAGGCCACCCGCCCCCCACCCTCTCCTGGTACCACGGGGGACTTCCTGTGGCAGAGAGCAACGAGACATGGCTGGAGGCGGGAGGCAGCGTGCTGAGCCTGGAGAGCCTGGGGGAGGCGTCCGGAGGCCCGTACAGCTGCGTGGCCAGCAGCCCCGCGGGGGAGGCCGTGTTGCAGTATTCCGTGGAAGTGCAAGGTGAGCCGGGGACTGTCCCCCCCTGAGTCACCTGGGCTGTGGACCAGTCCTCCTACACCCACTGTGTGTGGGTCCCTGCAGGCCCTGAGGGGACACAAGGTGGTGAAGGCCCAGCATCCCCGTATTGCATGAGACAGGTGAACACACAGATCTGGGCTGGAGGTCCTGCAGAACTACGAGGGGGTGGGGTTGAGCCCCAGGATCATGCTTCCTGTTCCTGCTCCGGGACCCTGAGCCAGGTCGCTTGGGACAGGACCCCACTCTGCCTTCCACTCTTGGTCGACGGGCCGGACATTTGTCACGGACTCCCTGAGGCCCAAAGCTGGGCTGTGGGCTCTGGTTCCAGGGTGGGGTGGGCCTTGCCTGCTTTCTTCGATTCCACAGACATTTCTCAGGCATCACCTGTGGGCCTGGCCCATGTGGTATTGGAGAGAAAGCCGAGAACAAGGCAGACGAGACTCCTAGGCCTCCGTCTGGTGGGGGGACAGACATTTAATAAACAGGTCAAGCCTGTGGGGAGACCAGAAGGTGCCCCTCACCCTGTGGTCCCACAAGGCCTCCTGGGGGACTTGAAGGGTGAGGTTTGGGTCTTGCTCAGGAGGTGCTGGGGACTTGGGTTTGCTCAGACCCAAACTCCCAGTGGTGGGTCCTGGCCCCAGTGCCCCCACAGCTCCTGGTGGCTGAAGGCTCCAGCCAGGTGACCGCCCTCGTGGGACAGCCCCTGGAACTTCCCTGCCAGGCCTCAGGCTCCCCCGTGCCCACTCTCCAGTGCGTATGGGGCAGTGGAGGCCAGGACCGGGCTGGGGGCAGGCAGAGACTGCATGCTGGGGGTGTCGGTCGGGATGGGAGACACTCCCCCTGCCCAGGAGTACGGAGGAGGCTGCAGAGCCAGGGAGATCCTGCCCACCCTGCCTTCCCTGGCCTCTGGCTGAGCGACATGTCCCCCTCCCCACCCCCCTCAGGTGGCTGCAGAACGGCCGCCCGGCCGAGGAGCTGGCTGGGGTGCAGGTCGCCTCACGGGGGGCCACGCTGCGCATCCACCACGTGGAACTGGGCCACGCAGGCCTCTTCGCCTGCCAGGCCACCAACGAGGCGGGCACCGCTGGGGCTGAGGTGGAGCTCTCCGTGCATGGTGAGGGGACATGCGCAGCCTGAGGTGCCAGGGGTGAGCAGAGCCAGAGGGCCGTGGCCTCCATCCGTGCCTTTGTCGCCCTGGTGGATGAGGGAAGGGCCCAGGGCTGGTCTTCCCTAGACGGCATTTCTAGGCGGGACTTTCCAGCTCCCCAAAGAGACACAGGTGTGAAAGGCTGGCCTCAGCTGTTTCCACACTTGTCACATGTCCTATGTGCAGGCTCTCACTCCCCTCCCCAGCCCACCCTCTCTTCACTCGCTCTCTTCATGCTGACGGCGCTGACCTTTTTTCAGTTCTTTAAATACATCAGCTTTCTCACCTCCGAGCCTGCAAATACTATTTTCTCTGCCTGGAATATTCTCCCTCTTCCTCTTTGCCGGCCTAGCTCCTCCCTCTCTTTCGGGTCTGTCCTAAAACACCCCTTCCTCCAGGAAGCCCTCCTTGATCCCGTGGTGGTTCTAATCTGCCCTGCCTAGCCTACCTTGGCCATGGCCTACCACACCCTGTATTAAAATTGCCTGTTGGGTTGTCCATGTCCCCTGCCCAGCTCTGGGAGCTCTGGGAGGGCAGCACTGTAGCCACTGTTCTCTGCTCTGCCCCTGAGCCTGGTACAGAATAGATGCTCAGTGCACACGCGGATGGGTGGATGGATGGGTAGAATTTCGAAGGGGAAGACCTGCTCTGCTGGCTCCTGGTCTGGTGCTCTCCCCCTGAGCCAAGTGTCTGTTGAGTTGAGTGGATGGAGGCCAGAGGCCGGCCCTGTGAGGATACTCCCTGCTCCCCAGGCATTGAGGGGATGGCTGCGTGCTCACTGCACCTCTCCTGACCCTGACCTGCGCCCTCCCTGCCTCTCCCCTTGCCCAGAGCTCCCACTGGTGGCCATCGTCGGGGGTGACAATATCACAGCCCTTTTCCTGCAGCCTGTGACCCTGCAGTGTGTGGGGACTGGGGTACCCGCCCCAAGTCTCCGCTGGTGGAAGGATGGCGTGGCCCTGGCAGCCTTGGGGGGGAAACTGCAGGTACGTTCAGGGGCCCCAGGGCCGGGGGGGCAACTGGACACAGGTAGAGGGGTTGCTCTTTAGAGGTCCTAGTGACCCCGAGGGGGGCCCTGGCAGCCTGGGGGCAGGATGAACGCTGGGTTGTGGACCTGAAGAGGGGCGGGGGTCCTAGACAGCTTCAGCTACCAGAGGGACATAGTCTGGGGGGAAGGGAAGTGTCCCTAGACTCTGAATGCAGAGCTTAGAACTCCACCTCTGGAGGCGAACTGTCCCCTTGACTCCCTCCTCCCGCCCCTGGGCTCTGCGGCAACCCGGCTGCTCCCCACGTCCCAGCATCCCTCTGACCACCCTCCACACGGCACACACTCTGCCATCCCTCCTCCCCCGCACCCCAGATCGAGAAGGCAGACCTGAGGGATGAAGGCGTTTACACTTGTGCTGCTAGTAGCCTGGCTGGCGAGAGCAAAAGGGACGTGGCCCTCAAGGTGTTGGGTGAGGACAAGGGTGCCAGATGGGGGGTGACCCTGGGGGGGCCCCCGGGGCTGCTCTAGGGGGCCGGCGGGGATGGGATTTTAAAAAACATAGCATGTCCTCATCTGCGTTCATACTTACCTTTGCTCGCCTTATTCATTTCTGGGTTCATTTACGTCCTTGCGTGTGTGGGCGAATCCCTGGACTTGTCACTTTCCATCATGCCGGCTGTCGACTGTCCCTGTGGAGCTGGGCGCTGGGGTCAGCCCCGTTGTGCCCCTGCCATGAAGATGGGCAGCCCAATGCCTTGTTCTTGTGCGGGTTCAGGAGTGGGGTTCTTCCCTCAGAGGACATGAGCCATTCAGGGCTTTTATGGCCCACACCCTTTGGGAAGGCCGGGGCGGGACATCAGGGATGGCTGGGATGAGCTCCCAGAGCCCACATCCACCAAGCCAGGGCTCTCCTTGTCTCCCCTAGTGCCCCCCAACATTGAGCCAGGCCCGCTGAACAAGGCAGTGCTGGAAAATGCCTCAGTAACCTTGGAGTGTCTGGCTTCGGGCATGCCCCCTCCTGGTAAGACCCCTCCTCTGGGCTGAAAGCCATCTCCAAGCCGGTCCCCCGCTCCCCATCGAATGAGGCTGGCCGGTGCCCCAGGCAACACCTGGGCTGTGGACAGAACAGCAAGCATTCAGTAGGCTTTTCCCCTATTTCTCAAAATTTCCTCTCTTCCTTCTCGATGTCCCAGTGACTGCCAGGACCCAGAGCTTTGGCACTGGTGTCTGAAGCAAGCGTGCAGGGGGCTTCTGTTCAGAGCTTGCAACTTCACAGGACTGCCCTGGGGCCCAGGGCCAGGACCAGGACCTCTGAGTTGTTGTCTGTCTGGGGCTCTTCTTTAGACCAGCAGCTGGGGCAAGGCCAGGAGCTTGGGGCTAGGTGTGAGTGTTCGGCAGACGGGGAGGGCCCTGGCAGGGTGAAAGGAAGCTGAGGATACATTGGCCCATGCTTACGAGGGTGCTGATTTAGAGTGCACCATGTTTCCCTCTAAAGGTGGTTTCCTGGCAGGGAGATGAGGTGAGGGGAGTTGGGCTGGCTTTGACTCTCCTTGATCCTGGCTGCCCCAGCCTCCATCCCATGGAACGTCCCCTCTGCCTATGTCCTGTCTCAGACAAGACTGCCCCGTTCCACCCCCAGCCTTCTTCCTGGAGAACTCCGGCTTGCTTGGTGCCTGAAATAAAGGCTTGCCATGTGGCCCACCCTGGAAGCCTTTTGTGGATGCTCATTATCCAGGTGCAGTCTGAAGGGCTGGCTGGACTGCTTGCATCTCTCTTCTCTCCCCCAGATATCTCCTGGTTCAAGGGCCGCCAGCCTGTCTCTGCCCGGAAGGGAGTGACAGTGTCAGCTGATGGGAGAGTTCTCCACATTGAGCGGGCACGATTTTCTGATGCTGGGAGCTACCGCTGTGTGGCATCCAATATGGCAGGCAGCACAGAGCTGCAGTATGGGCTACGGGTCAATGGTGAGCTGCCCCAGGACTAAAGGGGTCCTTGTCCAAAAAATTGTCCTTCCATTTGTTTGTCTGTCAGCCCATCCATCCATCCATCCATCCACCATCCATCTACCATCCATCCATCATCCATCTATCATCCCTCATCCCTCCATCCATCCATCCATCCTCCAACCATCCATCCATCCATCCTTCCATCCATCCATCCATCCATCCATCCATCCATCCATCCTTCCATCCTTCTATCCATCCATCCATCCATCCATCCATCCTTCCATCCTTCTATCCATCCATCCATCCTCCAACCATCCATCCATCCTCCCATCCTTCCATCCTTCCATCCATCTACCATCCATCATCCATCCATCCATTTATCCATTATCTACCCATCCACCCGTCATCCATCATCCATCCATCCATCCTGCCCACAGGTCCTCAGCCTTGTTACCCCATGCCATCCCCATAATAATGACCTCATGCTGACCAGAAGACCCAAGTTCAGGTGTTATTTCTGTCACTGTCTAGCTGGCAGGTGACTTGCCCTCTCTGATTCCCAGTTCCCCATCTGTAGAAGCCTCCTGGTGGTATTTTAAAGATGATACAAGCACCTTGAGAACTGTGGAGTGATATACCCGTGTTGGGAGTGGCACTTTTGTTTGTGGCTGTGTGTTCTGTGGGGTGGCCCAGCCAGGGGCCCTGCCAGCTTCGCCCTCAGTGAGGCTCACCCTGTGCTCTGTGTCACCCCCACCCTGCAGTGCCTCCACGCATCACATTGCCACCCAGCCTGCCAGGCCCCGTGCTGCTCAACGCCCCAGTCCGGCTGACCTGTAATGCCACCGGAGCCCCCAGCCCCACGCTGATGTGGCTGAAGGATGGAAACCCTGTGTCCACTGCTGGGGCCTCGGGCCTCCAGGTCAGCAGGCTGAGCAGCCCTGGCTTTCCTCCCTGGTGCCTCAGTAGGTAGCTAGGGGCAGAGGTCAGGCCCTGGGAGCTCCGAGGTGAGGGAGAAGCAGGGGCCTCCAAGGATGGTTCACTGAAGGGGGGAAGGAGAGCTGCTAAATGGAAAGTCTAGATCCTCATGGTCTCCGGAAACATAATGCATGGCACCGATACGAGCTATATATATAATTTTTAAAAAGATTTATTTGTTTATTTATTTAAGAGAGAGAGAGAGCATGGGGAGCAGGGGCAGAGGGAGAGAAAGTCTCAATCAGACTCCATGCTGAGCACAGAGCCCGATGCGGGGCTCGATCCCGTGACCCCAAGATCATGACCTGAGCTGAAACCAAGAGTCAGATGCTCAACCGACCGAGCCCCCCACATGCCCCAAGCCGTATATGTAATTTTAAACTTTCTAGGAGCCACATTCAAATGAGTAAAAAGAAATAAGTGAAACTAATTTTTAATGACATATTTTAGTTAGCCCAAACTATCCAAAAGTCTACGCATCATGTGATCGATATAGAAATTATTAAGATATTTGACATTTTTCTTTTTGTTCTAACTCTTTGAAGTCTGTTGTACATATATTTTGTGCTTGGGGTTTAGCCCCGTTTCAAGGGCTCAGTAGCTGCAGCACTGTTCTAGAGGACTCTTGGAGCACTGATGGCATTTGCCCACCTGCTGGCCGCAGTCCCGAGGTCTGGGCCCAGCTCCTGCTTCCCCTGCACTGTGGGGCGTTCTGGGGTCTGGAGCCTGCTGGGGCCAGCGTGTGAAGGTGTGGCTGCTGCCCCCTGAGGTGCATAAGCTCACGTGGGCTTCCTTCTGGGGGCGCAGGTCTTCCCTGGGGGCCGGGTCCTCACCCTGGCCAGAGCCCGGGCCTCGGACTCGGGCAGCTACTCGTGCGTGGCCGTGAGCGCGGTGGGTGAGGACCGCCGGGACGTCGTGCTGTCTGTCCACAGTGAGTGTCCAGCTTGGGGTGCCGTCTGGTCCAGGCCAGTGGCTCAAGAAGCTGGGGCTGGGGGCTCCCCCACCACGTCCGAAGGGCAAGGGGCAGTTGGCTGCGGGAGGCACCAGCCTGCGACCGTGGCTGCCATCACGCGGGGTCAGTTGGAGGGGAGCTCCCCTGTCGTGGACAGGTGGGTGGGCGGGCAGCTGCACAGCCAGGAGCTCCGTGTTCAGGGACAGGTGGAAGGAGCGAGACATGGCGGAAAGAGCGCCGGGCCATATCAGGAATCAGAAGTTCTCACTGTGCTAGGTCAAAGAGGGTAACTCCGTTCTAGGAAGGCAGTGGGGTGGGTGTCTGGAGCTCGTGAGTGTCATAGATGTGGGGTTCAAATCCTGCCTCTGCCACTTCCTAGCTCTGTGAGCTTGGGCTAGTCACTCTGCTTCTCTGAGCTTCCCTTTCTTTCTTTTTCTTTTTCTTTCTTTTTTTTTTTTTTAAGATTTATTTATTTATTTGAGAAAGAGAGAGAGCAGGGGGAGGGGCAGAGGGAGAGAGACACATAGACTCCACACTGAGTGCAGAGCCCAATGCAGGGCTCAATCCCATGACCCTGAGATCACGACCTGAGCCGAAATCAAGAATCGGACGCTTAACCGATTGAGCCACCCAAGCGCCCCTGAGCCTCCCTTTCCTCATCCGTGAAATGGGGTGAAGATAGCACCCACCTTAGAGAGTGTCATGGGATTCACTACCCTCACGAAGCACAGTTACAATCACTGTTGTTTTAACACTTCCTCTTATGGGATTTTGTGGAAGTCTGTGGAGGTACACGAGAGAACTCTGGGAAACGTAGAGCCTTGGGTAGGAGGGGTGAGGAAGCCGTCCTTTCTAGCTCTTTCCCTTCGCTGGAGTGATAGGTCATGGGATTGCGGGCTCACTGTGTCATTGTGTTTAATCTCACGGAGCCCCCGCGATTTTACAGGCGAGGAAATCGAGGCCCAGAGAGGCTGACCCATGTAACATCTCCAGGGCCTCACATGGTGCCTGCGTGGTAGACACAGGCCTCCAACCCAGGGGCTCGGACTCTAGACCCTGCCTTCCTAACCCCGACACTGCTCTGGTTATTTTTGTATCCGGGGAAAAGGTGTCTCAGGGATCTGCTTTTCAAAAAACTTAAAAAAGTAAATAAAGATATTATATTTCTAAAAAAGTTTTGAGATAATTGTAAATTCACACGCAGTTGTAAGAATTCATACAGAGAGGTCCGGGGTCCCCTTCACCCACTTTCCCTCGATGGTATCCTCTCGTATAGCTAACGCACAAAATCGCACGTGGGATATTGACCTTGCTACGACCCACCAGCCTATTCAGATTTGGGAGCCTCCTCTTGGAGCAGGACTGGGAAGGTCCTGGAGGGGAGAATAAGAGGGTTACAGCTCAGGGCGGAGGCCCCCGCCTAAAGCTGACTCCCCATCCCCTGGGGCTGACCCTGCACACCTGCCTGAGACTCCTCTCCCGCCCCCCTGCCACAGCGCCCCCAAGCATCCTCGGGGAAGAGCTGAACGTGTCCGTCGTGGCCAACGAGTCCGTGGCCCTGGAGTGCCGGAGCCGAGCCGTGCCCCCTCCCGTGCTGAGCTGGAGGAAGGATGGCCGCCCCCTGGAGCCGCGGCCCGGCGTCCACCTCTCTGCAGACAAGGCCTTGTTGGAGGTGGGTGGCCTCTTGGGGGGCCGGCGGGAACTCCACCCACAGCAGAGCTAGCCCGGAGGGGAGGGGGCCTGCAGGTGTCCCCACGAGAGCAGTGCAGCTCAGTGTGACCCTGCGCCCAGGGCACAGCCTCCTGACCTGGTGAGAAGCTGCTGCAGGGCCTCCCTCAGTCCCCACAAAGCTGAGCCTTTCTCTTTCCACCTGTTTTTCACTCCTTGTTCAAAAGCCTCCCGGCCTTTGGGCATTAGATCCCTTCATCGGGCCCCTGGCCCAGCGAGGGAAGGGTGGGTTAGGGTCAGGGACTCCAGGGTCAGCCTGGATTTACATTTCAGCCCCACCTCCTCTTGACTGTGCCGCCTTAGGCAACGTCCTGACCACCCGGGCCCTCAGGTCCGTCATCTGTACAAACCTTGCCACCTTCTTCCTGGGGTGGCTGGGCTTCTTATGGAAGAAAGCCAGCCCCTAGAACAGCTCATCCATGTCAGCTACAGGACGGGGGGTGGCGTGATCACCCCTCTCCACCTTGTGATGCGATCATTCCCAACTCTGAGCACCTCGATTTGGTTTCCTCTGCCCAGAATGCCTCCCCCTCCCCCCCTTCATTGTTCAAAGCCACGACCTAGCTTCATCACCCCCTCTGTCAGGATCTGACCTCTGAGGACAAGATCTCCTGCCCCCATCCTTCTTCATTTTCCACCTTCCCTTCTGGTCTGCTCTGGTGGACTTTCCAAAGAGGCCAGGAGCAGATTAAAGGCAGGAGAGGGGCTGGCCCAGCCGCATGTCCACCATCCTTAGCAGGGCCGGGCTGTGGATATGAAGTGGGGTGAGGCTGGCAGGGCTGCCATTATGGTGACCCCCTTCCATGTGCCCGGCCCACGTCAGGCCACCACCAGCCGGGGCTTCTGGAAACTTCACGGGGCAGTAGGTGGGAGAGGTGCACTCATTGCCCCTGGGTTCCAGGTGGTGGGGGGGAATGCAGTGAGGTAAAGTGACCTACCCAAGGTCACAAGTCTGTCCAGGGTTAGGAACCCCATCTCTGTGCTGCCCCTGCTGATGGATCTTTCTTGCTCGTGGCCAGGTGAGCAGAGCGGAGGTGGGGGACGCAGGCCGCTATACCTGTGAGGCACTGAACCAGGCAGGCCGCTCGGAGAAGCACTACAACCTGAACGTCTGGGGTGAGGGTCTTGGGGGCTGGTCTGGGGTCCCTCCCCCTGCCCCTGCCGCAGCTGGATCTCCTGCCCCCGCCCCCGGGGGAATGCTGCCTCAGTGGTCCCAGGATACAGGCTTTCTCCATTGCCCATCCCTCTCCCTCCCCGGCCCACTACTCACCCCACATCTCTCTCTGTGCTTCTGTTCATCCTCAGTGCCTCCCGTGTTCCCCTCAAGGGAACCCCGCACCCTGAGCGTGACCGAGGGGCAAACTGCCAGGCTGTCCTGTGAATGTCGGGGCATCCCCTTCCCCAAGATCTCCTGGAGGAAGGACGGTATGATTGCTTCCCTCGCCCAGCCCCACCCTCGGTGCCCCTGCCCTCGCTGGGTGCCCCCTACCCCACAGCCTAGCTGAGCTGGAGACAAGTGGGCTTACGGCCCTGGGGGTAAGCGTGCTGGTTATGGAAGTGACGCTGCCTTCAGCCCCTCTCTGCTCAGTCCCCAAGTCTGCCGGGGGCCCCAGCCCCCTCCTAGCCGGCGAGAGCTGGATTGGTCCTTAGGCTTCTCTTCCAGAAAGCCCTCCCTGACCCCCACCCCAGGCCAGGGCAGGGCCTCCTGGATACGGCCCCTGTGTGTTAACTTGTCATGCAGCCATCTCAGTCTTTCAGTGTCTGTTCTCCTATGAGTCTGAGCCCCGTGGGGCACTGTCTTGGCCATGGCTGAATTCCGGGCCAGTACCTGGTACAAAATAGGTGCTCGATAAATATTTGGAATTCATTCATCTAACCAGTATTTACTGAGAGCCTCTCCGTGCCAGGCCCCCTTCTGGGCATTGGAAATATGGTGGTGGATTGGGGTAGTCAGATAATAAACTGAGAGTTAGTGAATAACTTTGATGGAAAGTATTATCTATGGAGAAAAATAAAACCAAAAGAGGGAGATGTTTGCAGTTTCAGGCTGGGTGACCAGGGATATTTCACCAAGCAGAATTTAAGAAGGTGAGGGAGGGATGAACATGAGAATATTGCAGGGAAAAACATTTCAGGCAGAGGTATGAGCAGGTGCAAAGGCCCTGGGGCAGGAATAAGCCAAGCATGTTTGAAGAGCAGGCAAAGAGGAAATGGGCTGGAGCAGAGTCAGCAAGGGAGAGGTACCAGGAGAGGGTCACCAGAGTGATGGGGGCTAGATGGGAGGCCACTCTAATGATCTTGACTTTTACCTTGAGAGGAATGGGGCTACCACCTCTGGACAGAGGAGGACCACAGTCCAGTTTATCCTCTAACAAATTCACCCTGCCAGCCGTGCTGAGAACAGACCATTGAGAGCAAGGGTGGCCCCTGAGAGGCTTGGTGCAGGGTTCCAAGCGAGAGATCCTGACCGCCCGGAGCAGGCAGTAGCCGTGAGGTGGCGAGAGGGGTCCAGAGTCTGGATGCCTTTCGAAGGTAGTGCTGGCAGATGTCCTGCCAGGTTGGTTAGGAAGAGAGAAGGAGGAGTCGGGGTAACTTGAGGTTTTGGTCTGAGAGTCAGGAGAGGAGTACCAGCATCACGAAGAGGGAGAGACTGGGGGGCAGGTCTGGGGGCAGACCTAGAGTTTGGGGCTTGTTAATTTGGAGTCCTCTGTTAGGCACCGGATGAGATGTCAAGCGGGCAGTCAGGGGGAGGTGGCTGGAGCTGGAGGAGAGATCTGGGCTAGGGATCAGCCTGGGAGCAGCAAGGCAGGCCAGCAGGGGAGAGAACATGGACAGAGAAAAGGTAAGGGGGAGCTGCTTGCTCTCCCTCCCCAGGTGCCTGCAGCTAGATGAATGGATCATTCGGTAGCCTTCGTTGAGCCCGACTATGTGTCAGGCCCCAAGATGCTCCTAAGGATCCCAGGGAGGATGGGAGGCAGGGTCTGCCTTCCTGGAGGGTCCGGGCTGGGCTGGGATTCGGATGGGACACTGCTCTGCAGGCAGATCTGTGATGAGGAGAAGCCTGGGGGTTGTGGGAGCTCAGAGGGGGTGCCAGCGGCAGCTTTGGCACTCAAGGAAGACTTCTTGGTCGAGGTGATGGGAAAGCGGACACCTGAAGTTGTGAGCAGGAGTTGGCCAGGATGGGGGGAGAGGAGGACAAACGTTCTTTCTCGCTGCATCCAGGTCAGCCCTTGCCGGGGGAGGGGAACAGCCTCGAGCAGGTGTCCGCTGTGGGGCGGTTCCTGTACCTGGGACAGGTCCAGCTGGCCCAGGACGGCACATACACCTGTGAGTGCAGCAACGTGGCGGGAAATAGCAGCCAGGACCAGCTGCTGGAGGTGCATGGTGAGCCGGGCTGGGATGACCTGAACCAGGTGGAAGGGGCCAGAAGGCGGGGCAACCAGGCACCCTGGTAGGGCCAACCGCATCCTCCAGAATCCCAGCAAAGGCAGGAACTGTGGCAATGAGAACTTAGATGGCTGGTGTTTTATGAACTGCCCCCGCCACCCCCCCAGTCAGCTTGAGGGACGACAGGGTCCCAAGCAGCCCCCATTGGCCCAGAGAAACCGAATAAATCTTTTCTTTTTTTTTTTTAAAGATTTTTTATTTATTTATTTGAGAGAGAGAGAATGAGAGAGAGCACATGAGAAGGGGGAGGGTCAGAG